ATATAAAGCCCTCAATGAAAAATATGGTAAAATTTGCAAATGACAACACCCTAGCAGTTGAAGGTATTGGTGACGTTATGATTATGAGGAAAGATGGCAAGAGGTCAATAATCTCAAATGTGTTGCACATACCAAGCATGAAGAGCAATTTTCTCAGTATAGGACAGTTGGTCGAAAAGAATTATAAAGTGTCAATCGAAGATAAGATGATGAGAATCGTTGATACAAATGGGAGATTAATCTTGAAGGCTCCTATGTCTCAGAATCGAACCTTCAAGATTGAACTAAATGTGATGGAGCACAAGTGCCTTTTGACTGCAGCTAGCAAAGATGAATGGATATGGCATTGTATACTAGGCCATCTCAACTTCAGAGACATCAGATATTTGAAGAGAAGAAATATGGTTTCAGGATTGCCAAAAATCGACATTCCAAACGAGGTATGTGAGGAATGTGTGCAGACGAAGTAACACAAGAATAGCTTCAGCAAGGATGAAGGAAGCAGGTCGAAGGCTAGTCTTGAAGTCATATACTCTGATGTATGTGGACCAATCCAGGTGGATTTGATGGGAGGTAACAAATACTTTGTTACATTCATAGATGATTTCAGTCGAAAGTTGTGGACTTATCTGATCAAGAAGAAAAGTGAAGTGATCGAAGTATTTTCCAAGTTTAAGTCTATGGTCGAAAGACAGAGTGGTTGAAAGCTCAAAGTTTTGAGAACTGATGGTGGTGGAGAATATGAGTCGAAAGACTTCGACAGGCTATGTGAAAAGGAAGGGATTGTGCATGAGGTGGTGCCACCCTATACTCCACAACAAAATGGAATTTCAGAAAGGAAGAATCAAACCATCATGAATATGGTGAGAAGTATGTTGAAAGACAAGAATTTACCTAAAGAGTTTTGGGGTGAAGCTGTTTCGACTGCAACATACATTTTGAACAGATGTCCTTCAAAGAAGCTAGAAGGAATTACTCCAGAAGAATGTTGGTCTGGTGTGAAGCCTAGCTTGAGTCATCTGAAGGTATTTGGATCTAGCGCAAATAGACATGTGCCAGATCAGTTGAGAAGGAAACTTGATGACAAGTCAAGTCAAATGATTCTAGTTGGATATCATTCGACAGGAGGCTACTAGTTGTTCGATCCAAAAAACAAGAAGATTGTGATCAGCAGGGACGTGATCATAGATGAGTTTAAAGAATGGGATTGAACTGAAGATGTCAAGAAATATTCAGTGGGAATCCTATTCGAAGAACCAGAAACTCAAGTCGAAAGAGAAGTTCGACAAGAGGAACCAACAGACATACCAAGTACAAGCAGACCTCAAAGAACAAGATGCATGCCTGCAAGATTGCAAGATTGTGTGATTACATCAAATGATGTGATAGATGATGAAGGTGAGCTGGTACATTATGTTTTCTATGCATATGTAGAACCCGTTAATGCAACTGAAGCATTGAAGAATTCGAAGTGGGTGAAAGCGATGAACGGAGAAGTGAAGTCTATCGAAGACAACAACACTTGGTCACTTGTCGAATTGCCTCAAGGCAAGAAGGCAATTGATGTCAATTGGGTATACAAAGTGAAAACAAATTCGAAAGGGGAAGTAACTCGACACAAAGCAAGGCTTGTGGCGAAAGAATTTCTACAGAAAGAAGGAATAGACTTCCATGAAGTTTTTTCACCTGTTGCTAGGATCGAAACAATCAAGTTGGTTGTTGGTCTAGCAGAAATAAACAGTTGGCACATATGTCAGATGAACGTGAAGTGTGCATTCCTAAATGGACCCTTAGAAGAAAAAGTTTATGTTAAACAACCAGTTGGGTTTGTGAAACACGACGAAGAAAGAAAGGTGTACAGGCTGCATAAAGCCCTGTATGGATTGAAACAAGCTCCAAGGGCTTGGAATAAGAAAATTGGTAGTTTCCTAAGGGAGAAGGAATTTGTGAAGTGCACAACTGAACATGGAGTATATGTAAGAAGAAGCAAGAGTAAATTTCTTATACTATGTTTTTATGTAGATGATTTGTTGATAACATGTAGCTGCAACAGTGAGATCGAAGACTTCAAAGGTGATCTCAGCAAGGAATTCGAAATGTATGATTTGGGTGAAATCTCATATTTCCTTGGTATCGAATTCTACAAGAGAAGTAGAGGTTTGATGATGCATCAAAGAAGGTATGCAGGAGAAATTCTCAAGAGGTTTGAGATGGAAGAATGCAACTCAATTTCGACACCAGCAGAACCAAGACTGCAACTGTCGAAAGATGCAGATGAAGATGATGTTGATCCAACCCAATATAGAAGACTTATTAGATCATTGAGATACCTTTGTCATATAAGGTCTGACTTAGCATATAGTGTAGGTATGGTAAGTAGATTCATGCAGAAGACAAAGATATCACATCTAGCAGAAGTAAAGAGGATACTAAGGTATCTCAAAGGAACTTTCGATTATGGCATTTTGTTTCCTGCATCTGATAAAGGAAAAGAATGCAAGTTAGTAGAATACACTGATTTTAGTTGGTGTAGTGATGTTGAAGATCGAAAGTCAACAACAGGATATGTGTTTATGCTAGGTGGTGCACCAGTTGCTTGGAATTCAAGAAAGGAACCAGTAGTGGCATTATCATCATGCGAAGTAGAATACATAACTGCTTCTCTTGGTGAATATCAAGCAACTTGGATGGTGAACTTGGTCGAAGAGATAACAGGGAAAGATCATGGAGCAATTACCATGAAGATCGACAACATGTCAGCTATCAATCTGACGAAGAACCCAATAGCATATGGTCGAAGTAAGCACATCAAAATGAGGTTCCATTATCTTCGAGAGCAGGTAGCAGATGGGAAGATGAATTTGGAACACTACAGAACTGAGAATCAGATTGCAGACATCATGACGAAGGGAGTGCAAGTCGAAGTATTCAGAAGACTATGAGCCATGATGAACATAGATAGTTTAGACACAATGAATTAGGTGGTGTGTTAAATTGTAATTCACAATGTCGAAAAGATTTGATTTGTTTTAGATTTAAATAGATTTGATTTAAGTCTAGAATATATTAGGTTTGATTTAGTAATAAAATAGATACTTTGGACTTAGGGTGTAAGCTCAGTTATAAATAGAGGGAGTAACCCCTATTTTTTGTAAGCAAGTCAAGCAAGTCATTCACAGTATTTTGTAGTTGCAAAGTGAATAAAAAAGTTTTCACTGTTTGTGAGTAGAGAGAAACTCTGCAGAAATTATTTGTCTTGTCTTCTTTTCTTTGTTTGTTTTATAATTAAATTGTCATTGTGGTAGAAATTCATCATAGACTTTGGTGGATTTCTAACAAAACTAATGATATAATTAAATACAATTTTCTTTATCTATTTGATCATAGAGACACAATTTCAAGAGGAATTCTGACCTGTAAACAACTCTATATTCATATTTTTAAAAACAATCAATAAAAAGAGAAAGAATTTAAAATTTATTTAAATTTAAATTTCGATTTTAATTGGATTCATAAGAATGGTTATGATATGGAAGGAAAAAGATAATTATTTATTTATTTTTTAATTAATAAAAATTGTGATTGATTGTGTATAAAATTATGTGTTATGGTTTTGTCTATCTAAGAATTTTTCCAATTTCAATAGATATTTTGAATGTAAATTCTTTTCGTTGAAAAATATACATGGGTGTTATTGTGCTGCATCTGCAAGTTGAAACATTCCACCTATCAAGGGTTCTTCCTAGTCCTTAAAATTTATATATTTATCTTTTAACCTGTTGTAGTGTGGTTCTTCCTAATCCTTAAAATTTATATATTTATCCTTTAACCTGTTGTAGTTGGTTAAAAGCAAAATAAAAATAAAAATGATTGTATCATTGTTTGTTAGCACTTGAGAAAACGAGGAGAGTCCAACCTAAAATACTAATCAATTAGGTGGGAGAATTTCATAGCTAACACACTATATTGAGTACGTTTATCTACTCAATGTGGAACTCCTAACTTTACGACACCCTTTAAGAGCCGACATCTTTCTGTAGCTGAGCTTTCAATAAAAACACATATTGTTAGGACTTAAACATATGATGAGAGTCCAACTTAAAAGACTGGATTAAGGTTTTAAAAAACGGTCGCAGATGCAATTTAATCACGTTGTAACTTTCGTAATTTCAGTCGGTACAGGTATTATATTACAAATAACGATCGTTGTGGTGTGAATTTCTCATAACATTGCACAAAATATGATTTGTGTAAAAAGCTTAGGATTCCTATAAAATAGTGTGATTTCATTTTTACAATAAAACAAAATTTTAGTTCAAAATTTCAATATTAAGATTCCTATAAAAGTCATTTGATTTGTACTTTTAGAATAAAAACTTTCGTCAATAACGGTGTATTAACGGTTGTAACGGTGTTTTGCGACCGTAACAACGTTTTGTCACAACCGTAATAGGGGTTTGTCTGCGTTTTTTTTTCTCAGTCTTAAAATAGTGAATAAGAGTATCAGAAGACTCCAATACCATTTTGTTGCGACCATATTCGCGGCTGTGAACCGTTTGGACCATTTTTAAAACCTTTGTCAAGATCGAATGCGAGATCTTACATGTTAAGGAGGCCTGAAAGTGCCATGTCAAATGCGAGGTCTAAATTGAATATTTATTTGAGATCACTGATATGTTTCTTCATTTTATTTTATCATATTCTCTTCCTAAAGTAGATTGTAGAAACATTTCAATTATTTTTTTTATTTTCTATATTAAAATATGTTTTCTCAATTTTTTAATAATATTTAATAAAATTTTAATTTTAATTATAATAAATTTTAATATTTAAAATAAAAAATATTAAATAATTCTACTTATTTTTTGAAAAAGAAGAATATATATTCAAAACTAAAAAACATAAACACACAATGCCATCCCCATGGATTCAGCAGAACAAAAAACCAAGGCAACCAAGAAGAGAACAAACACCACCTAAGGGATCATAAATCTACCCAAATGACTCATAAACTTAGGATTCATCCAACATCTGTAAACAATGGTGTCGGTGATTCTAGTGCCTACATTACTATTGGTAGTAATCTGACCAAAACACTTGTTATTTCTAAACAACCAGGTCTCATAAACCGCTTCCGTGAACGCATATTTGATGATCTTAGCTTTGTTTCTCTTACTCTTGAACTTCTTGATTATCCAATTCAACTCCTCGTTCCATCCACCTGGAGAATGTGGAACATCAAGCCAATCAAGGGTTTGTTTCCAGAATTGACACAATACCTTACATTGGAAGAATATATGCTGAATGGACTCTTTTTCTTTACAGAAACAACAAGTGTCATCATTGAGCATCCCAAATCGCATAAGTCTCTCTTTTGTTCCTATTCTCTCATGACAAGTCATCCAAAGGATAAACCAGGCTCTCGGACGAGCCATGTTACCTTTGAAAAGATATCTCCACTTAACCTCCTGGAACTGGTGATTTAGCGGCTTGTACATTATGCCTGTTTGAAACTTTTAACTCTGCATCATACTTTTCCATACTGGGTTCATATACACTTCTTGTCTTTGATTTAGAACTGCTTTTAATATCCAGGAAGTGTTAAACTTTATAGGGACATTCATAATACTCCATTTCTTTAAAAAATAACAGTGAACCCATTTTATCTACAAGCTATCGAATTTACCATTCAGATTCCACAGTAACTTGATGATATTTTCTTTATTCCATACCTCAATAGAAATAATATTCAGCCCCCTCCTTGTTTCGTCGGTGTGCAGACTCGCTTCCAAACAATTAGGGATTTACACGTCAGCTTATCACCACCAAACCACAGAAAAGAGCGACAGATAGCATTAATCCTCTTGATAACTTTCTTGGGTAAAGGAATGCACTGCAGCTAGAAATTAGAAATTATAAACATAACATTGTTTATCAATTGCGCCCTGTCCCCAAAGCTCAGGAGCCGTGCACTCCAGTGTTTAATTCTTGCTGTAATTTTATCTGCTAAGAGAAGACAATGCGCAACAGAAAGTTTTTTGTTTGATAAAGGGATACCTAGATACCGAAAAGGAATGATGCCTTCACTGTAATTCACACTAGCCTGAATGTCCTTCTTCACCTCATCCCCAACATTTCCAAAGTAAGTGCTACACTTGGATTGGTTAACGTTTAACCCAGTGGTTGCTGAGAAACCGTTAAAAGCATTCATCACCAATCTTACAGACATGGGATCCCCTCTTGTAAACAGAAGCAGATCGTCCACAAAGCTGAGGTTTATGATAGATGATTTTTCACATTTCGGATGAAAATTCAAATTCGGAACCTGATTTAGCTTCTGCAGAGCACGATAGACATACTCCATAACAATCACAAAAATAAAGGGGGAAAGGGGGTCCCCTTGCCTAAGCCCTCTCTTAGGTAGAACAAGATTAGAGAGTTCTCCATTCACATGGTATCTATACGACACGGTAGTCACCGTAATCATGATCCATTTAATGAACATGTGAGGAAAGCTTAATTCATTCAAAATTGCTTCTAACGCCGACCATTCCACGATGTCATAAGCTTTGTGTAAGTCCATTTGGAGCATACATCTCGGATTACCTCCCTTAGTATTGTAGCCTTTGATCAGTTCATAATCCAATAATATATGGTCAGAGATACGATGTCCCAGAATAAATGATGCTTAACTCTGATGCAGAACTGCACTCAATACTTTCCCCAGACGCATAGACATAATCCTTAAAATGATTTTGTAAATAACAGTACAACACGCGATAGGGCGAAAATCTTTCACCATATTGGCGTTGTTCGATTTAGGAATCAAAGTGATTACAGAACAGTTAATTGCTTTGTAGATAAGACCTTTCTCAAAGAATTCATTCACCACCGCAATGACGTCTACCTTAGTTATGCTCCATGTAGCTTTGAAATTTTTTGCATTATACCCATCAATCCCCGGTGCATAGATGTCACTAATGCCTTTGATATTGTTTACAATTTCTTCTTCAGTTATAGGCATCAACAAAGATTCCCTCTGATCACTGGTGAGCTGCTTGCCTTGCCTCATAGCTACAAGATCAATACTATCTGATTGGTTGCTCTTAGTGCCAACCAGGTTCCTGTAAAACATAATAATCTCCTCTGCTATTTTCTCCTGCTCAAAACTCATATCACCATTCTTAGTAAAAAGCGATATAATTTGCGTTTTCCTAGTTTTTGATTTTAAGGACGCATGAAAATAAGTGTTATTACCGTCTCCTAATTTAAGCCAATCAACCTTCGATTTTTGCCTAAGAAGCTGCTCCTCAAGGTTGCTCAGGTTCAGAACTTGCATTGTGCAACTTTTGACATTCTTAATAATCTGCATATTAAACTGATCCGTTAGAAGATCTTTTTGTACAGTAGTGAGTTGCTCTCTGGCTTTGGACAATTCTCTTGATATGCCAATGAAGGTTCTGCTCAAGGATTTAATAACGAGTTGGAGACGTTTAAGCTTTTTCCACAGTATGCACATAGCAGTAGCACCAAACATAGGGTTGTTCCAGTTCTCTCTCACAGCTTCTTTAAAATCTAAGACATTAGTGACTACATTTTTGAACTTGAAAGGCGTTCTACTAGGATGTTTGTCTTCTTGTCTACACAGGCACATGAGGGAGTGGTCTGACACCCCAGAATTTAGAATTTGAAGTTTGAAATCTATATGTTGTTGCAGCCAACTTAAGTTACCAAGTACATGGTCTATAAGAGAGTATATCACAACATTAGCTTGGTTATTTGTCCAAGTATAATATTCCCCACTACTATCTTTTTCATGAAGATCAGTTACTTCAAGCATCTTCCCTAAATCCCTGTATTCATTCTTAGTGACCATGTTTCCCCTATTCTGTCTTGAGCATGAAGGACATTGTTAAAATCCCTATGAGTTCCCACGGACCAGAGATATTGGAATACAGATCTTATATATCCTGCCACAAATTTTTCCTTTGCTCCAAGATGTTCATTGCATAAATTGCAGTCAGCCACATATACATGTCTCCATTAAAATAGGTAACACAACAATGAATAATTGGGCAGAGCTTCTAACCACTTGTAGATTGAATTTGGTGTCTTTCCATATCACCCAAATTCGGCCATTTCTATGGTCTGCATAATTGTCCTTAAAATACCACATAGGCCTAAACTTCTTCTTAACGTCAACATCTTTGTGCAACTTAACACGAGTTTCTACTAAGATAACAATATCAGGGTGAATTCTATTAAGGTGGGAGCTGACTTCATTACACTTACCTGAATTATTAATCCCCCTTACATTCCAAGAAACAATCATGTCCCTGTGTCGAGAATGTCTTTAAGCCCCCCAATCTTGAAAACATCAAAACCATTTTGACACCTAATATCATGGAAAAATTCTTCAATTTTTTCCTTTGTGCCTACTGCTGCTCTTAGCAGTTGTCCAAGATGACGATTCTGGTTCATCTGGGTTATTCTTGGTTTTCTCTTCAGGCTTCTGCTTGGTATTCTTGACTATTACCTCCGCTTTTGGTTTTTCACGCCACTGCTTATTAGGTTTTTCTTGACACTGATGGGCGATCTTCTGACACAAATCACAAAACTTGGGCTTCCATTCATACTCAAATGGATGTGTGATTGTGTTCCCTTCCTTGTCTCTTATCGTGATGTTTTCCTTATGCTTTAGTGTTACATCTATCTCAACCAAGATTCGGGCGTATGAAACTCGCAACTTATTTGTCGTACATTCGTCTGTAAATGAAGGGTTACCAATGGCACTCCTAATTTTTCCAAGACTTTTGGTACCCCATAGATATAGAGGAAGATTGGGAAGCTTCACCCAAACCGGTAATGTGCGTAACATATCTCTCTTGAAATCAAAATTCAGATTCCAATCTTTTAGAACCATTGGCATACTCTGAATGGTATAGGGGCCCTTCATCAAGACCAAGTCCTTGTCTTTGTGCGTTCGGAATTCAACATAAAATACCCATCTTCATGGTATTACATCTCCGGCAGCTGAACAAAACTCCAGAACTTCGTCATATATTGTTTAACCGCGTTCATACTCAAATCCCTACACAAAACATACATAATCAGAGTCGTTTCCCAATATTTGAGCTTAGCTAGAATGTCTTATTCTTCAATCTCCACTTCTATTTCTCCTTCCACTACCTTCAGGGCAAAATATTCAATAGCAGCTCCGTTGGACGGGATTCTGTTTCCACTAATTACATCCACCCACAATTTCTTAGGTTCCTCACTATTCTTCTGGTTTATCACCTCATTAACATCTTGGGTTACGGTTTTTTCCTCTTCCATCGTCACAATCAAATCAATTTCAGGCTTAGTCGTTGAACTTCTCTCTGAATCATTTGTTTTCCCACTCTGCTTCAAAACATTCGCAAGCATTGGAGACGGAACCTTCTTCTTTGGACGCCCTCTCCCACGAGCCATATCACCATGGAGCTAACACCAGTAAGAATTAAACCAAAATAGTCCCTAATCCGAGGATTAGGAATTTAAATCATTTTGAATCAACCCTAACCAGCAAAGTCTTCTCACAAAAGAACCAGAACGAAAAGCTTGAACGGAAATCGCTAGCCGAAAATCGCCGCTGAGGTTTGAAATTGAAATTTTTGTACTATTATTATTATTATTATTCATAATATAATAATTCTATTTCTTTTATCTAAAGAATCACTCATTAACCTCTTTATAAAGATAGACTTTATGTTATTAAAATAAAAATAAAATTTATATGTATATAAAAATGAAATAGAATTATTCTTTCATATCTAAAATAAAAAACAAATAAATAATTCACCAAAAACTCTTTCCCCATTATTTTAAATTACATATTATATTTTCTATATATTTAAAATGAAATATTATTTTATATTTACAAAGAAATTTTTCTATCAATTTAAAATATAATATATATAAATATAAATTATATATTATACTTTTTGTATATGTTAAATTTTATTTATATTCGGTAACAATAAAATTTAATTAAATCGAACATCTTTAATTCTGTAACTTTTTTTGTGATATTTTTAATTACTACCTTTTTTTTATTTCAAAACATAACTTTATTTTGTTTTTCAAAATATGATTTTATTTTATTTTTGGATACTTGTGAATTATATTTTTATTTTAATAATTTAAAATATATAATTAAAAAGGTTGAATGAGTGGTTCAATTTATAAATAAAAAAAGTGAAACGATACAATCTTCTTTAATTTTAAGGATTTCAATTTACTTTAATTAAAATTAAAATTTATTATGATATAATATAACAAAATATCTAAAAAAACACTTTTTTGATATAGGAAATGATAAAAGTAACTGAAATATTTTCTATAATGCACTCCCTCCCTATCATTTATAAATAAATTTTATTTATTTATTTATTGAAGAATTAAGTATCTGATCTATATATAAATTAGATATATTAATTATTTAATAAATCTAAAAATGTGAAATTCGCTTATAATATGGGACAAAGTAGTATTTTATGAAGAGAATTTGACATAATTAAATGAGAAAAGATATCAATAATTTCTACTGGATATTTAATTTAGACCATTAGATTAAACTAAAATAAATGAACAAGATTTGAATATAGAGCTGTCAAAATGGGCTACCCGACTCTAAATAGGTCGGCCCTGATAAGTCTGGACTTTTTACGACTGAGCTAAAAAAACCCTATTGTAATATGGGCTTCAAAATTACTATCCGAACCCCGTTCCTACGCTAGTGCAGAAATGACTTTTTACATCGGGCGAAAATGATTTTTTACATCCATTCTTGGTCCGATGTAAAGTCAGGCGATATAGTAAATCAGAGACTTTTTACATCGGTTTTGGGTCCGATGTGAAAAAGACAGTTAACACATCGGTTATAAGCTAAGTCTGATTTAAAAAACAATTATAAAATTATTTTTAAAAAAATTGACGCAACATTTTACATCGGTATAACTTGGGACCAATGTAAAATACACCCTTTTTACATCGGTTGGGATGAATGCCCGATGTAAAAGAGTCAGCGTTGATAGTTTTTACATCAGTTGTTATTAATGCCCGATGTAAAATGTAAGCAACTTTTTTGAATAAATTATTTATTTTCGGGATGATTCCCTATAAAATTAAAATTGGTACCAATTTTTTCATATTTTTCCAATATCATACAGACTAAATTTAGGTCGCTATATATATGTCATAGCTTTCCAACATCACATAGACCACATCTAAGTCGATATTTTCATATTTTTCACAACAAAATCACAAAATGAACAATTGTATTGCAAACTTGAATTGTATCACAACAAACAAACTCACAACAAACTTACAAATATATATTCTTCACAAAACATACAAAAATATTCAACTATTTTTAAGTCTTTTTCCAAACTTGAATTACCAATATAAAATCCACAAGTAGATGAGTTATAGCTTCGGTAGGCAACACCAAAATCACATTGTCTGACAATAAATAATAACAATTAACATCAGCAAAAAATCAAGAAACTCAATACATGTGCAAAAACCACATGTAATGTGAAAAAACTCAATAATAACAATTATGTACAAAAACCACAACTTAGACAATTCTATAAAACTCACCGGATAAAGCTTAATTTTTATATAACTCAAAAAAACATTTTGCCCAACGAAGTCGCAAATCATACAAATCATCTTGTGTTAATTCTGTTGGGTCATCAAATACTTATAATACATAAATAAATATAGAGTTATTCTTTAAAAATTCATATTAAGTTTCAAAACAAAAAATAAATAACAACGTAAAGTTATTTTTATTACCTGCATCCAATTCTCGATTATATTGGCAGAGACAATATCCAACATATTTTTCATCACATAGTACCCACAATCATTAGAGTTATGTTGTTGCCTTGTCTACAATTGAATGACATAATTAGTGAATATTTATCATAAATTTAACTATAGAATTACAATTTACATCACACTTACATTGGGATGAAGCCATGTATCCTTTTTTCTATTTCTATTTGCCATTTGATGAATCCTAAAAGAACTAATACAGAAAGATAAACATCACATAACTAAATTTACTCGCCAATGAAAAATCACATAACTATTAATTGCCAATGAAAATCACATGAAAGATAAACTTACTTTGTAATAATTTTCTTCGTGTTCTAGTTAATTTCCTGATGAAGTGAACAAAATACGACAACTAAATTGTCTCTTGGACACATGACTATTAATTGCCAATGTCTCCTGTACGTGTGTGTCGAATAGAAAAGTCACATAAAATATATATGTTATCAAAATTAAATAATATAAAACACAATTTCATAAAAATTCTTACCCATGAATTAATGGTAGTAAGTGGCACACTCTGTTTTCATCACGTAACTTTTCTAGTACGTAATTTTTAACATCCTCTTGAGATTTTGCTCCATTATCATTATAAATACATCTAGCAGGGTCCATAAATCCATATAATTCTGAAATGGAATTCTCAAGACATACACGATGAATATATCTGAATAATTTTAAAATAAAAATTATAATCAAAGTGATAAGAGATATAACATATTAATAGAGATTGACTTTAATAAAATAATAAAATGTACTTACGTGCACCAAATTTGCAGAATAGACATGTTAAGCCAATGACCTAAACCCACCAATAACTCTCTGATACACTTAGCTGGAATATAAAAATTAGAGACACTCGCAAAATGACTTAATTGTATTTTCAAATGGTTGTCATCCATTTTCAAAACCATGAGTAACAATCTTTGAACATCATCAACTTCCACGTCTTTTATGCTTCCTTTTGCAGTTGAACAACTTCCTTTCCCGCTT